GGTGGGGGCTCCCCCCCCCCCTGCCACTGACCTGCAGAGGGTCACCTGCTTCCTCCATGTGCCCAGCTCCCTCTCCAGTTTCTACCCCCCACCACCCCAGATATCCCCCTACCACCCACCTCCCCGACAACGCCAGCCCCAGCTCCAGGCTAGGTCCAGCCCATGTGTATGCTTCAGCCCGGCCCGGTCCTGGCACCCCAGCCCAGTCACAGCACCCCGGCCCAGTCCCCTGGCACCCCAGCTGCCTATCCTCCTGGGTTTGGGGCCAGCTGCTCCAGAGCCACTCCTGCTGAGCCCTGCGCACTTTTGACTCGTGTCCTGGAAATCCCTCCTTCCTCTCTGGCTCCCGCAGCTGGCCACTGGCCCCAGCTCCGCCCATGACGTTCCTGACAGCTGTTCCTGGCAGCTGGAGTTTCTGCCATGTTGCTCCCTTAGCTCCGGACGCACACGTGGCAGCGTGTGGCTCCTGTGACCGCGCAGCGTGGAGCTGGGCAGGAGGAGGAGGGGACAGGGGAGGGGGCTGCAGGGTGTCTTTGTCTCCCCCAACACACAGTGAGAACCTGGGTGCAGAACAGATGCCCCGCGAGGGCCAGCATGTGCAGATGCTGCTCACGCGCAGGAACGTGGCCGCATTCCGTCCTTGGGAGGGACAACCGACACTCACCATGAGGAAGGGACAAGCCCAGGTCACGCGACAGGAGAAATGATGTCGTGTGCTCTGAGCCAGGGCCTGTGCTACGGAGTGGGTGGGCGGAAAAGCAGGGCTCCCGGCCTGGCTCCCGGCCTGGCTCCCGGCCTGGCTCCCGAGCCCTGGCTTCTCTGCAGCTTCTCAAGCCCCCGTCACATGTTCTTTGTGTCATCTGGGACAACGACCCCATGGCCACCCCTCCATGAGTCCTGGTTTGAGGTTCTGAAAATACAGTCACCCTAATATAGCCTTGGTGACCCCCCGAGGACCCTGATGGGGTAGGAGAAAAGGGATTTTGAATCTAATATCACAATGAGGACAATGTGAGGCCCAAAAAGACGAAGCGAGTTACCCAGCACCCTCACGACCTCCGGCTGAACAAGGGACTCCCAGGCAGAGCCAGGGCAGGAGCCCAGTCCCAGCAGCGAGGCCTGCAGTCAGAGAAAGGTCTTGGGGGAGTAACAGACCCTGGCAGACCCTCTGAGCAAGCTGGACGCCCCTCCTTGGCTTCCTCCTCTTCTCCCCAATGAAACTCTCACACCGCTGCAGTCTGACACGGCCTCTCCTCCAGGAGGACACCAGTGTCCAGGCGTTCCTTCTCTGGGCCACAGCACAGGCCCCCTCACTGCTGCTGTCACCGTCCACAGCCTGTGGCCCACCAGGCCACAGTACGATCTGCCTCTTGACGGCTCCTCACGTGTATGAGGTCGGCCCTGGCCTTCGCCTGACTCCCCACGCCTTCCCCTGTCAAACCCATCCTGTTCACTCTGCCTCTTCTCCAGATGTTGCTCTAACGCCCTGATCTCCCCACTGCTCAGAACAGGCCACGCTGACCCCCCTCCACCCCCTTCCTTCCACTGTCCTCTTTCAAAGTCCTATCCTCCAAGGCCCTTCTCAAATGTCCCCACTACTAAGAAGCTTCCCAGATCATCTCACCAGAATTCTCCACTCCCTTCCTCACTCCCATGTGGCAGAGGAGCTCCCGTGGGGACGTTCTTCCCAGGAAGCTGGAGGACTTCCAGACACAGCCTACCCAGGTCCATGGGATGGATCCTGCCCACCTGACCAGGCAGCAGGTGACCAGGGTCATGGCTGGGCTTGGCCAACTACACCAGTCTGCCCGATTTAACTCGTTCACATCTGCCCACCCTTTTCCCCTCACCATTCACCGCATTTGCCCCAGGCCCCCAACAAGCAATGCAAAGTGGACGTGAGGCCCCCTCACCCCATCTCTCAGGGCTGCTTCTCCCCACCCACCCCTCCTTCCCTTCCTTCTTGTTTCCTAACATTTCAGGGGAGAATGTCATTTCCAGGGCCAACAGATAGCATGAGGTTAAGGGGCTGGATCGCATGTGTCCGACTGAGCGGTTCGCGTCTCAGATCCAGAGGCTTAGAAAACACACCAGCACCTGTGCACAAGTGCCCCAATCCCTAGAGAATGGAGGAGAAAGGATTGCGGGTGGCCATTCCCCCGGGGGGTGATTTCTCACTCTCTCTCTCTCACTGGCTCTTTCTGGCAAGTGCACGCGCCCTGAAGCAAAATAAACAAAAATGTCATTTCTTTTTACATTTTATTTTACGATAGACAGCACGTGCAAGAGAGAGGGAGACAGAGAGAAGCACGTCTGGAGGCTCTCGGCCCGCACAGTCCCCTTTCCCCAGCCCGCCTGCTCGGGTGTATTTTCAGGCCGACCTGGGATCAGAATCACCCCACATGGCTTCCTGCACGGAGTCCTGTCTGCCATGGACTACGTCACCAGGCGGGCCTCTTTTTCAAAACATGCAACTAAAAGGGATTGGAGTTCCGGGAACTCAAACTGTTCCTGGAAGTGGCTGTTCAGGTATCTGACTCTCTGTGGTCACCAAGACTGGGCATGGCAGGCCCCCAGGGGCACACCCTGCCCCGCAATAGGCTGGGGGCCTCCAGGTCCCCAGCACTTTTGCCCAAACCCCATCAAGAACTTGCCCGTGGGGACAATCCCCATCACCGAGATCTCGTGGCTCTTAACCTGCATGGCATGGCCCATCTGGAACTGGGATCCAGTGGGGATCTAGCCCAGAGAGCCCTGAGGCCACGTGTGAGCCCAGGCCAGAAGAAACTTCTACGGTGGCCAGGTGGGAGGACGGAGGGACTGCCACCCTTGGTACCTGCACACATATGGCCTGGAGATGCCTGAGGACTTGGACTCAGTGCAGAGAACAAACGTCAACCTCCTGAGGTTCTTGGCAAGAAGCTTCTAAAGCTTTGCTGCCTCAGCAGTCGGTAAGTCACCCACCCTGTGACTTCCCAGACGGAAGGCTCCGGGCGCACTGCACGGGAGCGTCCTCACGCGGCCCAGTTAAGCCGATTGTGTATGAGCAGAGCCTGGGCCAGCACCACGCTGCGAGATCGGGGGTGGGGTGGGGGTGGGGAACGACCATGCAAGGGGCCATTGGGACCGGGAGCACTGCAAGGCCTTGACCTGTGATCGGGGAGCCAGGTGGCCAGAGAGGGGCCCCAAGGAGACAGAGACCTGTGTGTACCCCCACTGAGTCCAGGGCAGCTGGACTCGAAACACATCGAAACACAGCAGTGACAACAGGGTCAGGCAGGACACCCCCAGCAGGCTGGTGAGGGGAACCATGGGGTTACTTTAAGTACACGTGTGTGAGTAGCCACCATGCTGGTGGGAAAGTCAGCCCTGTTGAGACACGGTGCTGAGGACTGCTCTGTGGCACGGCAGTAACACGCCGCTCCAGAGAAGCCAGGTTCCCCACAGCCACGGCAGTTCAAATCTCAGGCCCTGGTCAGCCTGCAACACCGGACACATGCACTAACGCCCAGGATCAGACAGGCTGGAGGGCCAGAGGGAGCAGGTCTCAGCGTGGCCACACCCTGTGGGGGACGCCCCCCCCTCTCTCGCTCTCATGTATGTACGTGCATGTGCTCTATTGTGAATAAAGGGGAAACAATGGAAAGAATTCTTATAAGTCAATAATAAAAGAGCGCTCCCCTCTCTCTCGCTCTCTGTATGTACGTGCATGTGCTCTACCGTGAATAAAGGGGAAACAAAGGAAAGAATTCTTATAAGTCAATAATAAAAGACAACCCAATTTAAAACAAAACAAAGCAAAACATTTCCCTGTAAACACTGTGTGCTTCCTGCAGAGACCGTCCAGCTTGTGCAAATATTAAACACCGAACAGAGGCAGGGTCCCTAGGGGAGGGGCCGTGGTCTGCTCGGCGCTTCTAAGTGCTTCAGTGGGACATGGACACAGCGGTGTGCTCCGAGGGGAGCAGGGCCGCCCTCTCTCACTGTCGGCACTCAGCAGACGCTGGGTCCCAGACCAACACAGCACACACCAGCGCCCTCGCACCTGTCCCTCTAGCTGCCCCATGAGGTAGACTGTCGTCATGCCCATTTTAGAGGTGAGAAAACAGAGGCTGTGACATGTAGGGACTTGCCCCGTCACACCCGGGGTGGCACGGCAGATGCCCCAGTGCCAGCTGCATGAGCGCCCCCGGCTGGTCTCTTGTGGGCGGAGCCTTAGGCTGCCCCCAGTCCTCTGGGGCCCTGGAGCCCAGCCCCAGCAGGACCAGGACCAGTGGCCTCTCCAAGTGGGCAATGGGAGTGGACAGAAAGAACCAGTCTAAGTCGCCAAGAGGACACAGCACCCTTTAATCACGCTGGGCGAGTGGGGAGGGGCGGTCAGGCTGGGGTGGTTTTATAGCACCGGCCTCGTAACACTGGGTCAGGCCCTGCACCTCTCACCGGGCCTTCTGGGCCGTAGCACCGAGACCACTCCCAGGGCCACCTCTGCCCAGAGTCTGCGTAAGCACCAAACGGGGAGGCTGCCTCCCTCTGAGAAGGACAGGCACCCGGGGTGGGGAAGAGGAGGGCTGGAGGGCCTCAGGCCACCCCACCGGGGAGAGGAAGGACAGGTGCCCAGGGTGGGAAGAGGAGGGCTGGAGGGCCTAGGACAGGAGCCTGGTGTCCCCTCTTTTGCCTCGGCCTCTCACAGTGCTGCCCTTGGCAGCCTGGCTCAGAGAAGGCCCGGCTGACCAGGAGGGCTGCCTACTCAAGACCCTAGCTGGCCGAGGGCTCCAGAGCCTGCTGCCTCCCGCTCTGGCCCAGCACCCACCCGTACTAGCAAGGGCAGCACCAGGCTGTGGAGAGTGCCTGCCCGGCCTTAGCACCTGGAGAAAGCCTGGAAAGTGGGGCACTGACGGGAGGCCTGGAGGGCCGGAGAGCACCTCAGATGTCAGTGTGCTGGGGGAAACTGCGGCTCCAACACCCTTGGCAAAAGGGGCCAAGCAAGGTCCAGGCAGAACTGGGAGAGGGCAGGGGAGGGACACCAGCGAGAAGGGTAGGACTTCTCAGAGGTCACCATGCCAACTGTGTGGGGAGGCAGGAGCCTGGGTTTTATTTCCTAGGGACTCTTGTATCTCCAAATGCCCCCGAGCTCCTGAGTTGTCTCTGATAGGACCTTGGCCTTGGTTGATTTACTGATGGGCACTGGGCAGGAAGGCAAAATGGAAAAGGGACCCCTATTCCACCAGCCTTGGGGAGCAGTGGGGAACCAGGGTGCATGCCTGGACCACAGAGCTGCGTAGGGGAACTCTGCCTCCTCTGGGTTGTGGCCATTGATCTGCCACAGGCCCTGCCCCCAGCACTCACTGAGGGTGGGGACAGGGCCTGTGGCTGACTCATCTTGCCTTTCCAAGGGCCCGGCATAGGGACTGCTCGTGTTTGATGAATGACTAAAAGAATGCTGGCAGCTACAGAGCTGGAGGCAACGAGGAGAGGAGGCAAATGTAGGAGACAGGGAAGGGGCAAGGAGAACTGAGGAGGGGCAGAATCAGAGCCATGAGAGAATTTAAGGATGTCCGGAGAATTCTAGAATGTTCCGAGGACCCCAGACTGTCTAGAAAATACTAGGGTCATTGGAAAAGTCATGACACATTTTTGCATAGAAAAATACATCGTGACTGAATCCCATGACCCAATGGAATGTTGGGAAGGTTCTAGAACCTGATTACCAAGTGTTGTTCAGAGACCAGTAGCCACAGCATCACCCAGGAACTTGCCAGAAATGCAGAGCTGCTGAGCCCGAGGCTGCATCTCAGCGCGCTCTCAGAGTGATCACACGCACGTTCAGGTCTGAGAAGTGCTGGGCTACAAGGTTGGGGAGGTTCTTGAATATTTAGGGTAAAGTGTCGAAATACGTCCAAGAGGGGAAAGACAGAAGCAGACCCGGAGGATGATGACGGGAGGAAAGAGGAGGAGGGCTTCCTGGAATGCCGGGTCCTTGGGACCACCCTGGCCTCCCTGGTTTACAGAGGTGTGGACCGAGCCCTGCAGGGGTGGGGCCTGCCCACGGCCTCCCAGCACCTGAGCTGCCTCACGGGGCGCGAGCGGGGGGGTGGCCTTCAGTCGTCGTCGGGCTTGATGAGGTGGCCGCTGAAGGTGATGTAGGTGTCCACGTCGTCGCTGTACACCGCGTTCTCACGCTCGCGCTTGAAGAGCCGCACCCAGACGTGGTCGGCGGGCGCCAGGGCCAGCATCACGCTCTGGCTCTGCATGATGCTGCGGTCGCTGGGCTGCGCGTACAGGATGACGGCCGCCTCCTCGTTGTGCACCACGTGCACGTAGGTCTCCTTGAAGTTCCAGCTGTGCACGTTGAGGCTGAAGAAGTACAGCCCGCTCAGGGGGGCCACGAAGCGGCCGCTGGCCATGTCGAAGTGCCCATCCGGGTTCACGAAGACCGTGTCGAAGAGCAGCGGCTGGAAGCCCTCACTGCTGTGCAGGGCCGTCTTGCGGCCCACCGAGAAGGCCGAGAAGCGCATCTGGCATGGGCTGCCCGGGCTGCCCGCCTGCCCCTTGCTGCCCTTGGTGCCCTGTGGGCCACGGTCCCCCTGAGGGCCCTCCTGGCCCAGCTTCCCTGGTGCACCCAGTGGGCCTCGGTCCCCTTTGTCACCTGTGGGGGACAAGAAAGGGAGAAGTCAGGTGGACCCAGCTGGCATCAAGGAGGTCCCCTCATCTGCCCAGGCTCAGAGAAAAAGCCAGTGTCCATGGAGAGTGCCAGACATCACTTCCCTTTTAAAAGACACCACGACTAGGACCAGCAGTTGGTGTAATGGCTGTGTCGCTGGACTCCCATGCAGTCAACCACAGTTCGAGTCCCGGACCCAGTGGCTTAAACTCATGCCAGGCGCGTGTGCGTGTGTGCCCAAGGTCCCAAGAAGAGAATGGAGGAGAAGGGACTGTGGCATGGTCATCCCCCCTGGGGGGTTATTTCTCGCTTTCTGGCTCTTTGTCTCTCTCTGTCTGGCAAGTACGCATGCCCTATAGCAAGCAAAATTCTCTCAAAAAAAAAAAAAAAAAGCACCACGACTAAGTCCACCTCAACGAAGGTGAAGTGCCCTGCCCAGGGACACACAGCTATAAGCAGAAGAGTCAGGACGCACGTAGGATGTGTGCCCAGCCATCAACCCTTGGGCAAGGAGAGGCTGGGAAGCCAGGCTCAGGCTTCCACCCTGGGGCCACTGCACCCAGCCCAGGGTGGCGCGATGCGCTTTGTGTCTTGACCTAGAGAGGGAACCAAGAAAAGCACCTCGGCCCACCTCGAGGGAAAAGCCTGTTAGGAGGCAGACAGCCGTGTTGGCGTCACTGCCTGGTGAGCTGGGGTGTGCCGTGGCCGGGGTCTGGCTTTTCTTGTCTACACACTGAGGAGGGCTGTGCCCTCATGGGGTGCTTGGGAGCCCCAAGAGAGCATCCTTTGGGAAAGCACAGGACAGTCGGCCCAGCAGTGCCGAGCCAGCCCACCTGCCCTGGGGTCTGCTGGCACCTAACCTAGTGCAGGCTAGAGGTTGCCAGGTCGGCAGCCCCTGCCCGGCCCTTGTTTCATACTGACCTTAGACACGAGAAAGGCAGCTGACAACATGCCTCAGAAGACCTGGCCCCACGTACTCCCTGCTGCCTGTCACGTGCCTGGCATCCCAGCCCTGCTCTAGGAGAAGGTAAAGGCCCTGTTCCCTCAGGTCCCCTGTCACCATGGTGGGGAAAACCAGAAAGGCGAGCTCGGGCCCTTGAAGGAGGCAGGGAGGCCCACAGTTCTGTGGAGGTCAGACTCAGCCTTGGTGGAACGCTGCCTCGTCACAGCGGTCTATTGTACCTGACAGTTTGCAGAGCACTGACCTTGCCCAGCATGAGGGAGAATGTGAAACCGGTTCCAGGAGGGGGGACCTCCTTTTTACAAGGAACCAGAAAGCTCAGGGGAGAAAGGCCCGCCTAGCCCACTGGCGTGGGACTCCTGACACCAGCAAAGGACTCTGCATCCTCCCAGCAGGTGGAGGCCAGCCCACGGCCAGGGCTTGGGAGGTCAGACTGGCAGCATCCGGCCCTTCTCACCCTCATGCGGAGGGCTAGGGTGGCGGGGGAAGTTGTGACCTGTGAGGTGGTGGGGAGGCAGGTGGTGAGAAATGGGGGTGTTCTCACCCACAAAATCAGAAGGGGGTCTTAGACACCAGCTGACCACCAGCCCCGCGGAGACCTTGGTGAAGAGTCCTGGCCCTGAACCGGCAGCTATGTGGCCCCAGGAGAGGAATGCTGAAGTAGGCTCCCAACGGAGGAGGTGAGGGGCAGCAAGGCCAGCCCCAGCCCTCAGCCCTGCGCCACCCAGTAAGGTCCTTTCCTCCCTGCCGATGTTGGAGGGCAGAGGGCAGGCACTCACCCAGGTGGCCCTAGTGGCCCCGCACAGGGCTCCCTGCTTCGACCCTGTGGCCTTGCACTTGTTCTGCCCACCACATTAGAGTGAGCCATCCGAAGCCTAACTCAGATCAGGTCACTCCTTTCTCCCATTCAAAGAAGCCCGGGGCCTGAGGGTCCGTTCCTCCCAGCCCTGCTCCTTAAACTCCAGCTGCGCCTGCCCGAGGCCACACCTGCTGGGCCCTCTGCCTGGGAAGCTCCCCCCCCTCCCCCCGTGAGCCTCTGCCCAGATCTGGCCTTCTGCAGGAGCCCTCCACTGTCCGCCACCAGATGTGCAACCTGCACTGAAAGCCTTCCTGCCTGCCTTTCCAACTCCGGGTCGGATATTCCAACTCCTTAACTCAGGTGACAGGTGGTTTGTTCAGGCCCGCCTCGCCCTCCAGAATGGAGGCGCCAGGGTGGCAGGCCTCTTTGGTCCACTCACCTGTGTCCTCAGTGTTCAGCCCAGTTTGGGCAGGTGAAGGAAAGAGCTAGGACATTCCTGCCCTGACTTCTCCACTCCCACCGCCTCGCCTCCCCAGCCAGCCCGCCCTGCCCCTACTGGGCCAGCCCTGCCTACTCACCCTTCAAGATGGTGATATTGATGTAGGGCCTGACCTCGGGCAGGACATACGGGACGGCGGGCCGAGAGGCCGAGGACGCACCTGCAGCATCAGCGAGGGCCAGAGGGTCCTCAGGGTCACAGCACTGCCGGCAGCCCCCGGGAGGGTTGGAGGCCACAGCTTCCCCAGAGGTGGGCTCCTCGGTGGGGACCCCCACCACCAAGAGAGGGAGCAGGAGCACCCCCCAGAAGGAAGCCAGGGCGGCCGTCCCCATGCTGACCTAGAACAAGAAGGGTCAGAAGTAGTATGTCATGCAACATGCCCTGTGCCAGGGCCCAGGCTGGAGGCGGTCCCCCACCCTGAGTGCGCCCTGACAGAACTCAGGAGGCAACGCACAGGGACGTGAGTTCTCTGAGGTCACAAAGAGACTTGTAGCAGGGCAGGGCCTGCCTGCAGAGGACACCCAGCCCATGGAAGCTCCTGCCACACCTGGGCGTGGGGAGGAGGGGGTCTCTCTGTGCAGAGCCAAGGCAGACAAGGGTCTGGGGGCCTTCACTGAAGCGACTGAGGAAGGTGCCCCAGCTGCCCGCGTGAGGTCGCCGGGAGACAGAAAAGCTTCTCTTGCCTGCTCGCTGCCTCTGGCTGCTTGTCTTGCTGTCAACCCCATCATCTCCAGCAAGCACACGCCACTGGCAGCATGAGGGGGCTCACGGACACTGGGACAAATGCCAAATTCTGCCCATTGTCCTCAGGAGAGAGGAGTGGCGCTGGGCCCTTGCTCCGGCCCCGACAAAGGAGACAGGCGTGCCCACTTATTCCTGCAGACTGGAGCAACTTCCATGAGCAACAATGCACGGGGGGCAGGTGATGTGTCGCTGGGACGGCAGGAGCAGGTGTGCTGAGCTGGGGACCACGGGCCATTGCCGGCCTCCAAGCACCTTTGTCAAGATGGAAGGGCCCCTCTGGAGTAATGCACCACCACGGGGTGACCTTGGCAAGGGCTGCTGTCAGCCCACCTCATCCTCAACCTACACCACACAGCCTAACCAGAAGCCCTGCAGGGAAGACGGTAGGGTCAGAGCTAATTCACTGGCAGGTGGTTGTGTCAATCACAGTAGACCTTCCAATCAGCTACCAAGGTGGTAAATTGGAATCAAGGGGCAGGACAAGGAGGTCTGGGCAATTCAAAAGGGTCAAAGAAATCCAAGGATCTGTGAGGCTCTGACTTTGGCCATGGCCAGGAAGGGGTCCAGAGTTCCAGGAGAGGGGCAGGAAGTGGCCTGGACACCAGGCACTGGAGACAGGCCTGGGGCTGGTGGGCAGGAAGTCGGCTGGGAGTCTTTGAGGTGGTGACAGCCTTTGGGGGCTGGCGCCGAGTTATCACAGGATCAGAAACCAGACTGGTTTTTACACTTTGGCGTTTCTCTGTTTATTTCCTCTTGGTACTCCTCTAACATTTAGTACAATTCAAAAATATTTTTCTGTGGTTAATACATGTAGAAAAGGTACAAAAAGAAAAAAAACCTACTACTTTGTTAAATGCCATCCTATCAGTGAAGCAGAAGGAACAGCTAGGTTTTAAAGGGGCAGTTGCCCTCTCCTTCCTGGGACTGGGTGGCTGCCACAGAAGTGGGGGAGCCAGGCCAGCTCCAGAGCCACCCCTCTCCCAGAGGTGACCCTTCTCAAGCTCCCTCCTTCGTCTACCCAGGTCAGGGGTTTCCTAATTCCACGCAGTAAGACAAGTCAAGGGGCAGCCCGTGGCATGGTGGTTAAGGCGCTGGACTCCCACATGGCTGACTGCTGTTCGAACCCTCGACCCAGCAGCTTGAAACTCACGCCAAGTGCATGTGTGTGTAAGCCCAAAATCCCGAGGGGAAAATGGAAGAGAAGGAATTGCAGTGTGGCCATCACCCAGGGATGGGGGATGATTTCTCACTTTCTCTGTCTCTCTGTCTCTCTGTCTCTCTCCAGTGAGTACATGTGCCCTAGGAGAGAAACCTAAGAAAATAATAAGATGGTAAGTCAAATCCTTGGTGATCTACAGCCTTCCTATCTGAGATTATCTCCTAACCTTTCCTCTGTAAATGACAAATCCCGGTGGTTTTGAGAAGAGCAAAATTCCCCTCTGTTTCCCAGCAATAGACGTGATCTCATGAGAAAAGCTGAGGTTTCAGGGTCAGAACTGCCATCCTAGAGTAGTCTGCAAACTGTGTGACCTAGGGCTAGTAGCAGCACTTCTCTGGGCTTCTTGCCCCTTGAAACTTACAAGCAGGTGATGACACCACCTCCCTCCCCAACTATTTGGGAGGAGATCAATTCAGGGAAAGTGCCTGACTTATAAAAGATTTTTGTTTTAACATCTGTTCCTTCCTCTGCCCAGCAGGGATTTCTCTTTCCCCTCACCCCCCACCCCGTGCCTTGGAGAAGGGCGAGAGGTTGGTGCGGTTTGGGGACATTGCCATTTCCTATTGGCTACAGCCAGATGGGAGTCAAAAGCTCTAAGACACAGAACTGTGGCCGGAGGAGCCGGAAGCAGGAAGCCAAGTGGCCTTTTACAAGCATAATAACCACAGCTAGGAGCCCTGCCGCCCAGGGAGGTCCACGACACCCTTTGGAGTGGATATTGGGGCCCCTGCTGCCTGCCACTGGGAAGCTGGGACCACTTAGCAGGGGGTAGCAGGACAGGCCGTTGACTGAGTTGGTGCTTGTCCAGGCAGGGCGGGCACAAGCCAGAGCCGGGGGAGCCTGAGCAGGGGAGGGCAGAACAAGCTAGGACAGGAGAGAATGGGGAGCAGAGGTCCTCAAGGGGTGCCAGGTCAGAGAGAGAGGGCAGGGCCCTAGAGGTCTCCAGGAAGGGGAGAAGGAGGAGGGGATCCAGGCTCTGACCCCAGCCCCCTGAGCTCTGCAGGGCAGAAGCCAGGGCTTCCCAACACTCACCCTGCGTCCTGTAGCCTCTCACACTGGCTCACAGACCCTGGGCCTCTGGGCGGCCTCTGGCTCCTTGGCCCATGTCTGCAATAATAACTGGTTACCGGCCCAGACCCCCAGGCCCAGCCAAGGAGGGAGGGAAGGAGGGATGGAGGCGGAGGGAGGGCGGAGGGAGCACGCTGAGCTGGCTTCCCACGTCCCCTCCTCCCCGCTCCCTCCCTCCCAGCCTCTGGGTTCTGAAATAAAGGGAGCCATCTGCCAGAGGGATTTCCTTTGCTTAACTCTTTGGCGGGCTAGTAGGGTCTTGATTGATCTGAAGGTCTAGGAAGTCAGAAGGGGAAGGGATTTGAGGCCCCCAGATGTGTGGACTGGGAAATTGAAGAAGGGAGGGACTGGGCTGGAGCCCCAAGTTGTTTGGGAAGTGGGAGGACCAGTCTGAGCTGCAGAGCTCCTGAGCTTGGAGTCCCAGGGGCAGGGTGGGTGGCCCTGAGGCTCTACCACTGTCTGGCGAGTGACTTGGCTCTGGGGCTCCTGGAGCTACAGTCCCCAGACCCATCCTTGCCAGGCTCACAGCGGGGCTCAGCCCACATTTGCTGAAAGAGCAGGTGTAACCTCAGGTACCATGGGACACGCCCCAGGGGACACCCAAGTCGTCATCCTCTGCCTGGAACTCCGTATTGTCCATCCTCCATGATGCTCCATCCTCTCGGTCTCTAGGGCCAACCCCCTGTGGATATGACCTTCTGGAAGTTCACAGGAGGGCGGCCAGTGTGCCCCTGGGTCTGGGCAGGTCCCACCTCAGTTTTCTCCTGGTCAGGATAGGGGAGGTCTGGCAAAAGCTGCAGCCTGGCCCCCTGCTCTGGCATCCTGGGGCAGGAGAGTCCTGTGCAGAGACAGTCTCCACGGTCTCCCACCCCACCGTGGTTTCGAGTAGCTGCCTGGGCCAGGCCTCGCCTCTTGGGGCTTTTGGTCTTGACAGGGTGTTTATTTCCACTATTTCAACTACTCCTATCCCAGCCTTGGGAGAGGGAACTGGGATCAGTCAGGAGGCCCAGGTCATATGGCCCGCGGAGACAAACCGCACCCCTGCAGGATGACGGCTCTGCAGCCCACAGGCCAGCCCACCAGGTTCCCACCAGGTTCCCACAAACGCAGTCCGGGGTTTGCACACTAACCCCCTGGCCCACTCCCCACTGGGCAAAGGGTGCAGGGTGAATAGCTCCCGGGCTGTGTGACCCTGGCCAGGGCTGTCTCTGGGCCTTGTTTAAGGGAATCATCAAGCAGCAGACTACTAGGCCTGGAATGATTCTAACAGATGATCGAATCCTAGTCCTTAATCTGCCCACGGGGTGGTCCGAGGAGGACGGTCCAGCTCAAGGTCACATAGCAGACAAGTCCTGCTGGGATGCAAGCTAGGCTCCCCTGTCTTTGAATTTCGGGCTGTTTTCTGTCCCAAACCGAAGCAGAGTCCTCCAGGGGGCCCAAGAGGGTCCAGGGGGACCCAAAGCCAGGCAGGCTGGAGGCCCGTGGCCATGGGGACACCAGCAGGCCCACACTGGCCGTGCCCTCTACGTGGCCTGCTCCAGGCAGCATTCCCAGGGCACAGAGCCAGGCTGCAGGGGGAGGAGCCAAGGGAGCCACCAAGGGAAAGGGCTGAGTCAGCGGCACCGGGTGTGGGGGCCACGGGAAAAGGGGCCAGCGGTCTCTGAGTTCTCAGAAAGCCTGCATGTCTGAGGAAGGGCATGGAGAACGATGCTGGTAGGAAGAAGCAGGTCAAGGCCATGGGACGGGTTCTGTTGAGGGCCAGTCATGTGCCGGCACAGTGGCCCCAGAGAGGTCTGGGGAACAGACAAGGCAGCTGAGCCCGAATCCCCAGGGCCCGGGCCAGCCCTGCTAGTGCCCAGTCATGCCAGGCCCCAGAAGAGGCTCTCTCATTCCCTTAGTCCAGGGCAGCTGGCTGGGCATAGAGGAGACAGGAGGGCAGAACTCGGCAACATTATACTCACTCTCGCCCTGTCGGAGAATTCCTCCACGTATGTGTCATGCCCTGGCCTCTAAGCCAGGCAGGTGGCTTGGAGACGGAGCTCTAGCCCTGGGGCAGAATCTGGGTATGACTCAGGTCCGCCTCCTCCTCCTAGCTTCATGACCTTGGACAAGTTTCTTGACCTCTCTGAGTCTTGGTGCCCCTGGGCCAGTCGGCCATGACCAGGCCAAGACCCTGAGCCGCCTGGTGGAACACCCAATGGATGTGCCCATATTGGCCACCCAACGGTGCTGCTCTCTGGAGCACAGGGAGGGTTTGTGCCCTTCTGCACATGTGCACTCCAGTATGGAGGCCCGGGGAGCCAGCCAGGAGGAGATGCTGCCAGAGCCCCATCAGCAAAGGTGCAACCCCAATGCTGAAGGCCTGGGCCTGTCACCAGGGACAAAACCCAGGGCTGAGCCACAGGGCTCAGCCAGCCCACCCATGCCCCACCCCCAGACAGCGCTCCCTCCCGGCTGGTCCTGCTCTGAGTCACCCTGCCAGCCGCCCTCTGAGGTGGGCATCGTTCTCACCTGTCTGTCCATTTTACTGATGAGGAAAATGCACAGTCAGGCTCAGACCTGAGCCCTGAGCCATCTGCACTGCCTCACCAGGGTGGGCAGATGGTGTGAAAACAGGGGCTCTGGGCTGGCCAGCCACATCTGGGTGGGGAAGGTGGCTGGATCCCTCACGGCCAGCTGCAGAGTTCAAGTCCTGGACAGGACCGGGTGCGCGTGCCCAAAATCCCAGGAGGGAGAGGTGGAATAGGAGGGACTACGGTGTGGCCATCCCCTGGGGGGGTGCTTCCTCACTTTCTCCCTTCCCTCCCACCCCACCCCATCCCCCACCCCTGCCCTCTATGAGCATCCCCCCCTCTAGAAAAATTTTAAAGATAATAAAAAGACATTTAGTCAGCACTTCCAGAGTGCCAGGGACCCACCTTTGTGCTTTACGCATTTTAAAATGTGTGCCAGTCCAGAAATGAGACCAGTCAACATGGTTTCTGGAGTCAGTTACGTAAATTATGAATGGCAAGTCACAGATCGGATTGTTCAAGGTCGGTCACCGATTCAGAAAGGCAACAAAGGGAATCCTGAGCGCCACCTGCTGGGGAGAGCCCAGGCGCCCGGCCACCCGGATGCTCCAGGGCCTGCAGGCCAGACCGAAGTCCCCATCCCCTGCCTAGGAAACTAAGGAGAGGGCGAGGTGCCAGAGACTGGTTGGAGTGCCCCCTCCCATACTCAGGTTCTCCCCCAAACCCCAACACTCCTGCAAAGTGGCAGGAGGTCCAAAGGGACCGTCCCTCTCCCAGGGAGCTCCCCCAGCTTCCTCTTGCTGGAAGAAGCCCCAGTGCCCCCACCTGGCTGGCGAAGCACCCTGGGGAAACTGCTCTCTAGACTTGGTCTCTGCATTCAGGGCTTGTTAATCCAAGTGGGGCAGGATGAATACCATTTTGCAAAAGGGGAAACTGAGTCCCCAAGAGGCCCAGCAGAGAAAAATGCCAGCGCAGGTCCAGGCCCTCTGCACCTGCACCAAGACCTCGTTAATCCTCAGTGGGAGAAACTGAGGCTCGGAGAAACTGAAGGGCAGAAACTGCCTCCACCACGGCAGAGTGGAAGGAGAGCCAAAATGACGGGCGCGAGGCCAGGATCCGCCTCCTGGCTTCTTCCTGCCAAAGCCGAGCTACCTCACGCCAGGCTGCGAAGCCCCCTCCATCTCCGCCGGCTTTGGCCTCAAGCGCTGCAAAAAGACTGGTGCCGGCCGCAGCCACAAAGGCGGCTCCCAACGCACAGCCCCG